GATGGTGCCATTTTTTTCATTTTTTTAGTTTTAAAATAGTCAGAAATACACATACAATTACAAGAAATAAAAGAGAAATCCTAAATGCCTGCCTTACAATCAGTATATTCACACATTATAATGGCCCAGTCAAAATACAGAACATTTAGATCACCAGAAAACTTGCTCATGCTGTCTATAACCACAAGAATTTCACTCTTTTCCTCATTTCTTTCTTAGTTTCTGACAACATATAATACCATATCCATTTTTTAGATTTGTCATTTCAAAAATCTTATCATTGTATAAATACTTCCATGTCGCTTGTAATAAAGTCCATTTTAATATTAATAAGGAACTCCAATTTTTCTTTAATTAATGTTTATATACTACTACATAGTTTCAGATCTTTATTTTGACCTGTGTATATCTTTTTAGTTGTATATTTGAAGTGAAGAGTGAAGTGATTTTACATATTTTAAGTGAGTTTACTCATGAGATCATAAAGTTAAGTAATTTTTAAAATATACTCTTCTGTTGAGCTTGGAAAGAATTAGGAACAAATGAGATTAAGATTGTGAAATTCAGGTTTAGGAGAGATTCACTTCCCCCTGTAATCTTCAGCCAAAATAAAGACTTTCTTCCATAAGTTACTTTTGGTCATGATGTTTTATGATGAAACAAAATGTAACTGATACAGTACCATACCACCAGTGATAGGCACCACCTTTGGGTAAAAGAATGGAAAAAAAGTGTCCACCAAATGGAACTAAGTAACAACAAGGCATAGTTGTTCTAATATCTGGAAAAATGGACTTTAAATCAAAACTAATCAGAAGAGACAAAGAAGGTCACCTTATACTAATTAATGGAACAAGCAACCAAGAGGATATCACAGTTCAAAACACATATCAACAAATATAGTCATATCTGACTCCAAAAAAGAATACTACTAAACCTGAAACCACTGATGAACCCCCAAACAGTGTTTGTGGGTGACTTCAATATGCCACTCTCCCCAACAGACAGACCATCCTGACAAAAGCTAAACAGAGAAACATTGGAATTAAATGGCATCATAAATCAAAACAACCAAACAATCATCTTCAGAACATTTGACCCGAATGCTAAAACATACAGATTCTTTTCAGAAGCACATGAAACATTTTCAACCTTATATTTGGACACAATGCAAGTCTCAACAATTGTGGGAAATTGAAATCACATCTTGTATTTTATCTGACTGCAATGGAATACAGTTAGATATCAACAGAAATAGAAGCTATAGAGAATACACAAACTCATGAAGACTAAACAGCACAGTATTTGAAGATACCTCAGTCAAAGAAAAAAATTAGGATGGAAATTTAAAAATTATAAGAATTGGATTAAAACTGAAGCAAAGCATACAAGAATCTATGGAACACAATGAAGGGAGTGATAAGAGCTAAGTTTATAGCACTAAGTGCTTACATCAAAAATTTGAGAGATCACAAAGCAACAATTTAATGATGAATCTGAAGGCACTGGAGCAACAAGAACAAACAACATCCCCAAACAGTAAATAGGGAGAGATAATCAAAATCTGGGCTGAAATTAATGAAATACAAGTGAAAAAAGAAACAATACAAGAATCAATGAAAGGAAGACTTCATTCTTTGAAAAGATTGACATACCTATAAATCATAAGGACATATTTATATAATTTATTCTTCAATGACCAGTCCATCAAAATATCTATATTGGTTCAGCAGTGGCACTTTTATCTCTGGGATAATCAGCAGCTGTCTAATTAGACTTAAGGCCCACACAATAGGAGGGAAATTATGCATTGTACTGTGAACATAGCCAAGTACACATGAGTAGAGAGGTCACAGAAACTAAAAAGAACTTACTTCTATTACTTTCATAGACCAAAGAATTTTTTTACTATATTCTAAATGTCTATCCTTATATTTACAGACTAAGTGTACCTTTTGCAACTCTTCAAAACAGCTTCTTTTTGCAACATATTCAGACTATTGCAAAGTTCCACAACTGATCATACACAGAAAATAAGTGACTGTGAGGTTCTCAGACCTAAGTGACGCATCTATAAAGCAACTTCCATATCCGAGGCTGAGGAAACATTGCAAAAGAGGGGGCAGAAAGAATGTAAGAGCCAGAAGAAGTCACCTGCTGCACGTTGATGCATTCAACGTGAGGAAGGGATAATCAGTTTTCTACAGGGACTAGCTTCATGAGAGGTTATCTAATCCTAAGTAGGGAACCTTAAACACAAGTATACACCAGCACTCAGTACTATATATGTTATCTAATCCCAAGTGGGCTGCCCTAAATTCAAGTACACACAAGCCATACATATATGTGCCAGTACATCATATATGTATATTTATAAATGTATGTACATGAAACATTAATAATCAAAGATGAGGATGAGAAACTGAGGTGCAGTGGGGAGCACATGGGAGGAGTTGGTGTATGTCTCAGATGGATGGAAATAATACAACAAATATTCATGTATACAATTCTCAAAAATCAAAAACAAAAATTAAAAATTAATATTCCATTAAACTGACAAGTTTTAAAGAAGTGAATGAATTTCTAGACTCATATGATGTACCAAAGCTTAACCAAGATGCAGTTGAATAATTTAAATAAACCCAACATTCAATGAGATAGAAAGAGTAATTAAAAATCTTGCAGGCATGTGGATTCAGTACAAATTGTACCAGACTTTCAAAGAAGAGCTAACACTAATATTTCTCAAATTATTTCATAAAGAAGAAAAGCTGTGCTCCAGCTCCTGCTTCCAGGTTCCTGACCGGAGTTTCTACCTTGGGTTCCCTGATGAACTGTGACCCAGGAGATATAAGATAAAATAAACCTTTTCCTCCCCAAGTTGGTATTGGTCAGAGTATTTTGTCACAGCAATGGAGAAAAAAACTAGGACAGAAATTGGTGCCAAGAGTGGGGTATTACTGTGACAGACCTGACCATGGTATTTTTAGGAGGATTGTGGAAGCATTCTGAACTTCAGGCTGGAAAAGCCATTGAGTGCTCAGAGTTTGTTGCTGTGGAACTTGGAACAGTTCTGGTGAAAGAGTTGTAGATGATGGAGGCCTGACTTGTGAAACTTCGAAGGGAGGTGGAGACTATCAGGGCTGTCTGTGTGATATTTTGAATTGAGAAACTATGGGTTCTGGTCAGCTGGGGCTGAAGAATCAGCTGTGATTAAGAACAGACCAGAACCTGAAGTAAAACCTTTGCTTTACTGGGACAATTGATGCTGATTAACTAGGGCTGACAATCAGCTGTAAGTAAGAAGAGACCAGCATCTCTGTGGTGAAATCTTCTGGGAGGTATTTCCTCAGGGTCAGCACACAGAGGGGACCCGAGCCTCCGTCTCAAGCTAGAATCAGGACTTAGTAATGTGTAAGAATCTCCTGCATGGTTTTGGTGTTGAAAGTGTGAAGGGGTCACAGAGAGCATCTGGGGCTTGGCATTCTGAGAGGCCAGGAAAGGCCATAGGTGAAAGTTCAGCTTCAGTTGCAGTGAAGACCCCAGGATTGACGGGGTCATGGAGAGAATTGGAGGTTCTGCACCCCAAGAGGCAAGAAGAAGCCATTGGTGAAGGTATAGCCTCAGTTTCAGTGGAGACCCCAGCTTTTTGGAGATGCTGTGACCATGGGATGACTACCAAGGACCACAGTAGGTGTGGAATGGAGCTGGCCTGGGTCTACGATACGAGTTGAGTGTGCTGTGGATGGCAGAGTCAGAGCAGTGGAGCTGCCAGTACCCTTTGGTGCCCAGAAGATCGTGAGTGAATCCCAGATGTCCAGCCTCGAGCTACTGTGCTGGACTTTGGTTTTGCTTAGGTGTGCCCTATTCTTCCCTTTGAAATAAGACAGTAC